AGGCGTGAGCCACCGCGCCCGGCCATAGAATTGATTTTTAAGTGTGTTAATTCTACCCACTACTTTTCACCACAGCAACATCTGCCTATGTAATTTCTAGTCGGTTATCTCTTCTCAAATATACGGCATGCTCTCCATCTCCCCCATGCACAAGATCTTACAAAGAACACTTCTCCCAGAGATGGCTCAGAAATCAGGCCTGTCCCGAGGGGATGGTTGCAGCTCCTACTGTCCAGGAGCATCAACTCTTCCAAACTTAGCATCTGCCCAAGGTTGTGGCTGGCAAGGCGGAGTCCAATGTCACCTCCCAGTCACACGTGGGACAGATGTCCAGGTGTGGCAATACCACACACAGCCTGTTTTTCACACACACACACACACACACACACACACAGAGGGGAGATGCAGCCTCCTCCACGGGGAGGCTCTGAGAGGGAAGGAGGAGCCGTCAGTCCCTGTCACCGGGAAGGTCTGTTTGCCGCTACATCCTGGCCCTTGGTGAGACAAGGACAGATTAGATAGACGCAGCCAAAGTGAGGGGAGAGCTCATTTCTGTCTGTAATATCTCCAGAGAGCCTGGTGTGCACCCCCAGGACAAGCCCTGGGGAAATGACAGCTGGGCTCCTGGGGAGGGGCAGTTCCTCTTTCTGCCCCTCATGGGCTCCCACCAGGAAGCAGAGATCTGGCAGTGCCCCTCTACAAACATGGAAGAGGGGGAACCACAGCGTCCCACCTTCACCTGGATCCCTGGTTCCTCCCTGTCTGTGAGGAACCTGGATTTCCTTTGCTGTGCCACATAGAGGTGGAAATGTCCTTCTTTTTCTTTCTTTTTTTTTTTTTTTTTTTGAGATGGAGTTTTGTTCTTGTTGCCCAGGCTGGAGTGCAATGGCGTGATCTTGGCTCACTGCCACCTCTGCCTCCCGAGTTCAAGTGGTTCTCCTGCCTCAGCCTCCCAAATAGCTAGGATTACAGGCTTGTGCCACCACGCCTGGCTCATTTTTGTATTTTCTGTAGAGACGGGGTTGTGCCATGTTGGCCAGGCTGGTCTCGAACTCCTGACCTCAAGTGGTCCACCCACCTTGGCCTCCCAAAGTGCTGGGATTACAGGCTTGAGCCACCGCGCCCGGCCAAAAACGTCCTTCTTAATGACCCCCTTGTGAGTCCCCATTTGTGTCTGAAATATCTCCAGAGAGTCTGGTGCTCACCCCCAGAGCAAGCCCTGGGAAATGAGAGCCAGGCTCCTGGGGAGGGGCAGTTCCTCTTTCTGTGGGGCTGCTGATGGGATGACCTCGTGATGGGGAGGACCCAGCCTCCGTGTGCCTACACACCATGTGTCTGTCTGTCTACGGGCACCGTGCTCACATCTGCCTGCACAGCCAGGGCCAGGAGGAGGAGGAAATGCCATGACCCCCATTCTCACAACCCTGCTCTGCTTTGGTGAGATCTTAAGACGGGGAGGAGAGACCCTAGTCTAGGAGAGAGACCCCAATCCATAGCCAGGCCCTGGTCAATTAGGACATCCCAGGGGCTCAAGAAAAAGAAGACCTGCTCAGGCTTTGGGGGCAAATCTCTCACAGGGAACTCTTTTCCAGGGCTGAGCCTGGGCCCCAGGACCTGCCCGGAGGCAGGTGAGTCTGTCCCCAGCTGTCCCAGGTCCCTCCTCCTCTCTGGGGACAAGGGACCACCCCTGGGCAGCTGGGGGTGGAGACAGCAGTTCTGGGCTGACTGATGGGGATGACGGGGGGTCCTGGGGCTGAGAGCTGGAATCTGAGGGTTGGGGACATCTTCGGACCTAAGCTGTGATTTCCTTTCAGAGAACCTACTCAAACCCATCCTGTGGGCCGAGCCAGGTCCCGTGATCGTCTGGAAAAAGCCCGTGACCATCTGGTGTCAGGGCACCCTGGAGGCCCAGGAGTACCGTCTAGATAAAGAGGGAAACTCTATGTCGAGGCACATGTTAAAAACACTGGAGCCTGAAAACAAGGTCAAATTCTCCATCCCATCCATGATGTGGGAACACGCAGGGCGATATCACTGTTACTATCAGAGCCCTGCAGGATGGTCAGAGCCCAGTGAACCCCTGGAGCTGGTGGTGACAGGTGAGAGGACACTCAGGGGTCCCAGCCCCAGGCTCTGCCCTCGGGAAGGGGGTCAGCTCTCAGCTCTCAAGGGGTCTCCCCTCTCACAGCCCAGCCTTGTGGTATAAAGTGGGAGGTGTGAGCCCCACGTAAACACAGCTGCCCTTTGCTCTCCTGAAAGCCTACAGCAGACCCAGCCTGTCCGCCCTGCCAAGCCCTGTGGTGACCTCAGGAGTGAACGTGACCCTCCGGTGTGCCTCACGGCTGGGACTGGGCAGGTTCACTCTGATCGAGGAAGGAGACCACAGGCTCTCCTGGACCCTGGACTCACACCAACACAACCATGGAAAGTTCCAGGCCCTGTTCCCCGTGGGTCCCTTGACCTTCAGCAACAGGGGTACGTTCAGATGCTACGGCTATGAAAACAATACCCCGTACGTGTGGTCGGAACCCAGTGACCCCCTGCAGCTACTGGTGTCAGGTAAGAAGCCGTAGCTTTTCCTTACACAAAGTCAGGGCAGCGGGTGAGCTGTTGGGAGCCTTACCCTCAGGCTAGCCCACGAAGAAGAAAAGATGAGGGGAAGACGGGGGCGCTAGGGACACAAATACAGGATGAGAAAAAAACAAGGACACTGGAAACCCTAGTGAGGAAGGTTCCAGAAGGAAGGGACGCGGGAGGAACCAGCCCCTCCGAGTCCCGACTCGACTTTCCCTCCAGGCGTGTCTAGGAAGCCCTCCCTCCTGACCCTGCAGGGCCCTGTCGTGGCCCCCGGAGAGAACCTGACCCTCCAGTGTGGCTCTGATGTCAGCTACATCAGATACGCTCTGTACAAGGAGGGGGGCGATGGCCTCCCCCAGCGCCCTGGACAGCAGTCCCAGGCTGGGCTCTCCCAGGCCAGCTTCACCCTGAACCCTGTGAGGGGCTCCCACGGGGGCCAGTACAGATGCTACGGTGCACACAATGTCTCCTCCGAGTGGTCAGCCCCCAGCGACCCCCTGGACATCCTGATCGCAGGTGAGGAGCCCAGCGGGTTGTCAGGCACCCAGGCTCTGCACAGGCCCTGCCGGGGGAGCCCAGGTGGTGATGGCCAGGATGGGGACAGGGGGTTCCCAAGGGAAGGAAAGACAGACAGAGACAGGGGATGGGCGGGGAGGGGAGACTCAGACTGAGGGTCCCAGAGAGAGGCCTGGGGGTGGCTCAGCTCAGAACGAGGTGGGGCAGCCCTTCACCCATCCTTCTTGTCTCCAGGACAGATCCCTGACAGACCCTCCCTCTCAGTGCAGCTGGGCCCCACGGTGGCCTCAGGAGAGAAGGTGACCCTGTTGTGTCAGTCATGGGGTCCGATGTTCACTTTCCTTCTGGCCAAGGAGGGGGCAGCCCATCCCCCGCTGCGTCTAAGATCCACTTACAGAGCCCAGCAGTACCAGGCTGAGTTCCCCATGAGTCCCGTGACCTTGGCCCACGCGGGGACCTACAGGTGCTACGGCTCACGCAGCTCCGACCCCTACCTGCTGTCTCACTCCAGTGAGCCCCTGGAGCTCGTGGTTTCAGGTGAGGGCCCTGACCCTGTCCTCTCTGAGCTCGAAGAGGTTCTTGGAAATGAAAAAGGAGAGCTTTCAACGGAATGTCCGCCCGTCTGTCTCACTTGCCCACTCCTCTTCTTCCTCCATCAGCACCAGCCTCTCTGAGCCCTGAGCCTCTCTCAGCGCAGGCCCTGCCCCCAAGAGAGCTCAGGACACTAGAAAAACAGGAGCGTGAAGGGGGAGGGTCCACGGGGGAGGGCCCAGCCCATGGGAGGGTGGAAATACACAGGAACCTCCCACCCAGGGGAGGGTCTAGCCAGGGGAGTGTGGAAATAGATGGGGACTTCCCACCCTGGGCTCCCAGCCCTGAAGTCTCAGTAGGGTAAAGAGTGGAGAGGACTGGAAGGAGGTGGGGGTGAGCCTCGGAGGAGATGAGATTAGACTGAGGGTGGAAGACGGAGGCCCCACACGTTCCCCTCCTGCTGTCTCCATCTCAGAATCAACGTCTGGGTGTCCCAACCTCTAAGTCCTGACCCCATGGGAGATGAAAGCGCAGTTACTCTGACCCAGTATAATATTCTAGACTCGTCTCAACTTTATCTCCAATATTCAGGAAAGGGGTCTGTTCCCCAGAGGAGCAGAGGGGAGAGTGGACAATAGGGGCATGGTCCACGTGGCTTCCTGGGGCCCCGAGGATGGGGCAGGTGTTCCCTCTGTGGTGGTCAGAGGGGAGGGAGGTGTCCTAGGACCAGGCAGGAAGGTGGGAGCAGCGATGATGGGCAGAGGAGCTAGGTCTGTCCTCCCCTATCTGAGCAGGATTTGGGATCCGGGGGTCCAGGCCTGACATGGACAAGGGGAAGACTGTTTATATCAACCATAAAAAACTGGAAATTTCACTTTTATATTTCCAAATTGTAAGCCCCTCTTTCTCACCTTAACTATGAATATATATGTAGTTACATATATTTTTTAAAACAAATATCTAAAGCCACAAATACATACGTATCTACAATCATTGTATTCATCTGTTCTCACACTGCTATAAAAAACTACCTGATAGGCCAGACGCGGTGGCTCACGCCTGTAATCCCAGCACTTTAGGAGGCCGAGGCGGGTGGCTCATGAGGTCAGGAGATCGAGACCATCCTGGCTAACATGGTAAAACCCCGTCTCTACTAAACATACGAAAAAATTAGCCGGGTGTGGTGGCGGGTGCCTGCAGTCCCAGCTACTTGGGAGGCTGAGGCAGCAGAATGGTGTGAACCTGGGAGGCAGAGCTTGCAGTGACCTGAGATCGCGCCACCGCACTCCAGCCTGGGTGACAGAGCGAGGCGGAGTCTCAAAAACAAACAAACAAACAAACAAACAAAAACCTACCTGAGATTGGGTAATTTATAAAGGAAAGAAGTTTAACTGACTCACGGTTCCACAGGCCATACAGGAAGCATGGCTGGGGAGGCCTCAGGAAACTTACAATCATGGCGGAAGGTGGAGGGAAAGCAGGAACGTCTTCTATGGCTGGAATAGGAGAGAGAGAACAGGGAGGTGTTGCCCACTTTTAAATAACAAGATCTCATGACAACTCACTATCACGAGAGCAGCAAGGGGGAAGTCGGCTCCCACGAACCAGTTACCTCCCACTGGGCCTCTCCTCCAACACTGGGGATTAAAATTCAACATGAGATTTCAAAGGGACACAAATGCAAACCATGTTAATCACATATATTTTATAAGCCATGTTAATCACATATATTTTATATGAATATATGCACTATGTACATATATAGACACAAACATACATTCAAGTATTCATTCCTATGCTTAATATTTTTCATCTTTTTTTATATTTATTTGTTTTTATTTTTTATTTTACTTTAAGTTCGGGTATGTTTTTAAATATTTGCTTTCACCTTCCAATCTAGGTTCATACTTCAAAAAAGCAGAAATGATGTTTTTCTGTCCCGCTCAGTCATTATCATTTAGAAAACAATACATTTTCATATTTAAGTATATCACATTGTTGGTGTTCCTAACTATATGAAGAATTAGTTAACAAGACAGTAAACGAATGATGAAAAAGCGGGGGAGCTGGCTGAGGCAGCACGCAGCGGGGGCCATCGCAGCCTTCAGTCCTTGTACTCCTGACTTTCAAGAGCCACTGAGGACCAACTCCTCATCCACAGAGACTGGGTCCTCATCCACTGAAAAATGGAAATTTCTGTCTCTGGGGGAATTAGTTTTTGTGTTCTTGTTGCACAAGATTGCACATCCAAGACAGCACACAAGAGCTCAATTCTTTCTAGTTGGGAGATCATTCTTCTCACTAGTCCTGAGCTCTTGGGCTCAAGTAAACGTTGTTCCAAAGTGACTCAGACACAAGATCTGAATTCCCAGAGCACAGAGAGGTTGAAAAACCCAATGACATACCAGGGGAGGCCTGCTAGAGCAGAGAATGTGTTCACTAAGGAGCTACATAAAGCCACACCACGAGAGATGGAGGAATATAAGAAAGCAGAGCCCAGGGGAGAGGCTCTTCAGCTTCTCACCAACATCCTTGTTCTTTGATTTTTAGGAGCAACTGAGACCCTCAGTCCAGCACAAAATAAGTCAGATTCTAAGACTGGTGAGTGAGGAGATGCCCCCAGTTATGGGGCTGGGCACAGAGGGTCCTGTCAAGGGGAGGTGGGTACCCTGGGTGGACATCCAGGGGTCCTGGGTAATTGTGATCTGCCCTGACCTCTGTGACCTCTTTGTCCACCATCCCTAGCCCCACACCTCCAGGATTACACAGTGGAGAATCTCATCCGCATGGGTATAGCTGGCTTGGTCCTGGTGTTCCTTGGGATTCTGTTATTTGAGGCTCAGCAGAGCCAGAGAAGCCCCACAAGGTGCAGCCAGGAGGTGGACAGCGGAGAAGACAATGCACCCTTCAGAGTGGTGGAGCCCTGGGAACAGATCTGATGATCCCAGGAGGTTCTGCAAGACTGGGGCAGCAGTTGGGGAAGTGTCTGCTGAGAATATCAAGGGGAAGAAGCATGGGTCAGGTGCAGGAAGGTGTCTGGGTGTCTGTAGAAGATGCTTCCTCCATTAAACTGTGATGCTTTCCTCCTCATTGTTGACTCTCCTTGACTGCCCCTCCCTTCCTTTTTCTTCCTTATGATGGAAGACTTTGCCCCTATGGTGAGTTTGGGTCCGCCCCACTGTGACCTCATGCTCTGCTCCACTTTCAGGTAATACATCTTTCTGTATTTCTAGCTAGTGCATTTTCTGATGTGTATTACTGGGACTATCTCTTCAGCTCATAACATGGAATTTGCTTTTGATAATGAAATCCATGTGCAAAAATCAGATTTGCGTTTGCAAAATTTAAGTTCAAAGTGATGCCCTACCACCTGTCACTCTCCATCTGTTGTTTCTCTAGAAATACAGTCACTAGGAATCAAAAGAGAGGTGTCTGATGGAAAAGCCTGCTGTTGTGCCCATAGACTGGCTTCCTGAACGACGACAAAAACGTTTTCTAAAAAGCATCTATTTGTGGAATTTGTTAATGACTGTGGTATAAATGCTCCCTTCATGGGCAGCTTCAAGATTCTCACATGACTACACCTTCCCCGACCTGCTGTCACACCCCAGTCGGAGCTGGTGGTCTTGGGTGAAAGGTCCTAACCCTGTTCTAAGTTCGAAGGTTCGGCTCAGGCCCTGCCCCCAGGAGCGCTCTGGGTGGAGATGGAGTGAAGGGGGCTCTGAGGGAGGCTCAGCCACAGAGGAATTCGCCCCTCAGAGGAGAAGAGGCCAACAGGGGTTCTCCCTCTTCTCCTTCACCTGGAGTCCAGAAGGTGCTAGGTGGGAAGAGGGAGGGTCTTGGAGAGGCCACCGGGCAGATGGAGGGGAGAGCTTTGAGTGGAGGTGGGGACTGCAGGATAGCTCCAATTCCTCAGTCCCTTTCTGTGCTCATTCCCAGGACCTCCAGGGATCCCAGCCCCCAACCCACAGGCTCCTCCTCCACACCTGGTGAGTCATTGAGGCCTCTAGGTTTAGAGAGAGGGCAACCTCCCGCAGGGCAGTCCTGAGTCTCCCAGAGGATCCCGTTCCCCTCAAGGACTCAAGCACGGGCTTCCCTCCAGAGCCAGAGGAGGGGCCACAGGCTCCCAGGGGCTCAGGCTGGGCTGGTGAGGGTCGAGGCAGAGGGAGATGTTGGGGCCCAGCCTGGGGAAGGAGCAGCCTGGCTGACGTGGGGAGCAGGGCAGCCCCAGCCCTCCCCTGCCTGTCCTGACCTAACAGGCCATGAGGACCAGCCCCTCACCCCCATGGGGTCAGGCCCCCAGAGTGGTGAGTGCAGGGCTTTGAGTGGGAGGTGGGTGGGGTCCAGGGGAGGAAGGGCTGAGTTCCGTCATCAGTTTGAGGCTCCTCTGGTGATGGTGACATGGATAGGCCCCTCCCCTGCCTGGGCCTCAGTTTCTCCAAGTGTAAAGGCGAGAGGCCTGCGGGTGGGAAAGTTCCTTTCAGCTCTGACTCCCAGCTGGGACCTCCTGGGAGAGGAGACCTCCCAGGGAAGCCTCCCAGGACCCGATTCCATAGGGGCCTGTCCTTTCCCACCTGCAGCAGTGACAGTGACCTGGGGCAGGGGAGGGGAGCAGAGGCTCATGTGTCCAGAGGGTCTGGGGTCTTCCCAAGCCACCCCCCTCCCCACCCAGGGAAAACCAGAGCCAAGCCCAGGGAAAAGCAGTTTCCCTTCCTGTGGGTCCACAGCTGTGGGGACCTGAACGGGCAGCAGCAGGCTCTGAGTGACCACATCCGTGTATCTCTCTGTCTTGGAGGGCCCTGTGGTCTCCTCTCCCACAGCTGGAGCCCCCAGAGCAGGCATCACGATGTTCGTGCTTCTCTGCCTCAGTCAGTGATGGAGGGAGAAGGGGCTACCAGGTTCTCCACGAGCCTCCCTCTTACTCCAGCCCCTGGGTTCTCGGGGTTGGGGGGCACAGTCTTTCTGGGCTGAGGGTGATAAAACAGAGAGGGGTTTTGGACTAAGCTGGAGGACCAAGAGTGAAAGAGATCTTGGGATCCAGTCTCCGGTTACATTTCAGGAACCATTCCTTCCCCATACCCTCCCCATGGGCTGAGACAGGCTCTGTGATCACCTGGGAGAGGCCTGTGTGTCTGGTGTGAGGGGAACCTGGAGGCCCAGGAGTACCGACTGGATAAAGAGGGAAGCCCAGGACCGGGTGCGGTGGCTCACGCCTGTAATCCCAGCACTTTGAGAGGCTAAGGCAGGCGGATCATGAGGTCAAGAGATCGAGACCAGCCTGGCCAACATGGTGAAACCCCGTCTCTACTAAAAATACAAAAATTAGCTGGGCGTGGTGGTGGGCACCTGTAGTCCCAACTACTTGGGAGGCTGAGGCAGGAGAATCGCTTGAACCTGGGAGGCGGAAGTTTCACTGAGCCGAGATTGTGCCACTGCACTCCAGCCTGGTGACAGAGCAAGACTTCGTCTACGAATTATTAAAAAAAAAAAAAAAAAAAAAAAAAAAAAAAAAAAAAAAAAAAAAAAAGGAGGGAAGCCCAGGGCCCTGGGACAGACAGAGCCCAGTGCAGCCTGGAGACAGGCTGAGTTCTCCTAACACATCCATAACAAATGAATACGTAGGATGACATTACCGTCACTATTTCAGCCCCAGTGACTTGTCAGAGCTCACTGACCCCCTGGAGCTGGTGGTGACAGGTGAGAGGACACCTTGGGGTCCCAGCCCCAGGCTCTGCCCTCAGGAAAGGGGTCTGCTCTCAGGGGTGTCTCTCCCTCACAGCCCAGCCCTAAGGGATAAGGTGGGAGGCTTGAGCCTCAGAGATCACACCACCTCCTTCTCTCCTAGGATTCTACAGCCAATCTACCTTCTCAGCCCCTGAGCCTGTTGTGAGTTTAAGAGAGGACCCTCCAGTGTGGCTCACGGCTGCAACTGGACAGATTCATTCTGACTGAGGAAGGAGAACTCAGTCTCCCCTGCACCCTAGACTCTCAGCAACACCCTAATGGACAGTCCCAAGCCCTGTTCCCTGTGGGCCCCATGACCCTCAGCCACAGGTGGGTGTTCAGATGCTATGGCAAGAACAGGAACACCCTTCAGGTGCGGTCGGACCCCAGCGACTCCCTGAGGCTCCTGTTCTCAGGTGAGGAAGTCGGAACACCCTTTATGGCAAGAACAGGAACACCTTCAGGTGCGGTCGGACCCTAACGACCCCCTGAGGCTCCTGTTCCTCAGGTGAGGAAGTCGGAGACCTTCAGGTGTGATCAGAACCCAGGGACTCCCTGGGGCTCCTGTTCTTAGGTGAGGAAGTCCCGTCTTAACCCCAAACGTTCTTTGAGGCATCAGACAGGTTGCTGTGGATCTCACACCCAGGCAAGCCCCAACTCTGAGGGTGGAAGGAGGGGAACAAGGGCTTCTGGGGCCAGAGATGTAGAGTGTAAGTGACGGTGAGATCTGCAGAGCCAGAGGAGGACAAGGGATGTATTTGACTAAAAACTAAAGTAAAGGCAGGTAGCCTGGCGCCTAGGAACCAGACCCGAAACCAGGCCTGGGCCTGCCTGACCTAAGCCTGGTAGTTAAAATTCGACCCCTGACCTAGCAACTGTTGTTATCTGTAGATTCCAGACGTTGTCTGGAAGGACATTGTGAAACCTCCCGTTCTGTTCTGTGTCACTCTGACCACCGGTGCTCTGCTCACAGCCCCTGTCACCTACCCCCTGGCTTGGTCAATCAGATCACGACCTTCTCACGCAGACTCCCTTAGAGTCATGAGCCCTTCAAAGGGACAGAAGTTGAGCACCTGACCAGCTCCGCTAGCCTGCGGAGGCTCCCAGCTGATTAAAGCCACTCCCTTCACTGTCTAGGTGTCTGAGGGGTTTTGTCCGCGGCTCGTCCTGCTACACATGAAGAAACATCAGAGTGTGGTGGTTCACACCTGTAATCCCAGCACTTGGGGAGGCCGAGGCGGGAGGACTGCTTAAGCCCAGAAGTTCGAGACCAGCCTCGGCAACATGGTGAGACGTGATCTCTACTGAAAATACAAAAATTAGTGGAGTGTGGTGGCGCACGCCTAGAGTCCCAGCTACTTCAGGGGCTGAGGCGGGAGGATCACCCACCTGAGCCTGGGAAGGTTGAGGCAGCAGTGATCCAAGATCGTGCCACTGCACTCCAGCCTGGGGTACAAAGTGAGACCCTGTCTCAGAAAACAAAAACAAAAAAACGGCTCTGACCTTTTCAAAAGTATCAAGGTCGAGAACAAAGATCAGCAAAGGCGCCACGTAGTGGAGTGCGAGCCTGTCTGTTGCCTGTTGCTCTCAAGCACCATCTACTGGATCACAGCCAAACGACACCACCAAAAACCACTACTCAATTCTACCGCCTGAAAGAAACCAAGAGCAAGAATTCATCAATGCCTTAGTTGTCTGAAAACTTCCAGAAATAAAGCCAGCAGACTATACTCAATTTATACCCTTGCAATGAAAGGAATAGCAACCCTCCCGGGTGAGAAAAAAATCAGGGAAATAATTCCTAGTATCTCCAAACCAGCCCATGAACTCCCCAGAAATTGTCCTTAATCAGTACGAATTGTCTCAAACGCCAAACGTAGAATTTGGAATCTGGATCGCAAGGAAGGTCATTCAAATCAAGAACAAAGTTGAAACTCAATCCAAGGAACCCAAGCAATCCAGTAACATGATTAATGACATAAACGATTAGATTTTAAGAAAGACCCAAACTGAACTACTTGAGTTGAAAAATTCACAGCACGAATTTCATAATGTGAGGAGAAGCATTAACAGCAGAATAAACCAAGCTGAGGAAAAGAATGTCAAAGCTTGAAGACTTGTTTGAATCAAATCAGTCAAATATAAAGAAAAAATACTTTTAAAAATGAACAAAATCTCTGAGAAATATGTTATCTAAAGAGACCAAATATATGACTTGTCAGCATTCCTGAAAGAGGAGAGAGAATAAGCAACTTGGAAAATATATTTGAGGATATAGTCCATGAATATTTTCCTAAACTCGCTAGAGTTTGACACACAAATCCAAGAAACATAGAGATGTCCAGCCAGATACTATATATAAGATGACCATCCCCAAGGTACATAGTCCTCAGATTTATCAGTGTAAATGCAAACGAAAAAGACCTAAAGGCAGCTAGAAAAAAAGGACAGCTCACCTATAAGGGAAACCCCATCAGGTGAGAAGCAGACTTCTCAGTAGAAATCTTAGAAGCCAGAAGAGATTGGAGGCCTATTTTCAGTGTCCTGAAAAAAGTAATTACATTGCCAGGGGCAGTGGCTCATGCCTCTAATCCCAGCACTTTGGGAAGCCGAGGCAGGTGGATCACAAGGTCAAGAGTTTGAGACCAGCCTGGCCAATGTGGTGAATCCCCATCTCTACTATAAATACAAAAAAAAAAAAATAGCCGGGCATGGTGGCACACGCCTGTAGTCCCAGCTACTCAGGAGGCTGAGGCAGAAGAATCACTTGAATCCAGGAGGTGGAGGTTGCAGTGAGCCGAGATCACTCCACTGCACTCCAGCCCGGGCAACAGAGTGAGAATCTGTCTCTCAAAAAAAGAAAAAAAAAAAAGAAATTACAACTAAGATTTTCATATTCTGCCAAACTAACTCCAATTGATCACAACTAATAGCTATTAGTAACTTACAGTAATTTAAACATTTCACAAGTGTTTTTCTGAGATCATCTCAAATCCCCATGTGAACGCTGTCACTGTACCTACAGATAAAATGGTAATTACCTGTCAGCAAGGAGATGACTTCATGGTGTCCCAAAACTTTATCTCTGGGATAAGATGCCCCTTTTGCACAGACGCACAGACTGTGATGATGGCAGCAGCTACTTCTGCAGCAAAAAAATGGCATTTGGTAAGTGGACCTAATTTTTTAGGTTCAGATGCTCATTCTTAGAGGAATGAAATGTTTATCATAAAAATATGGTGTGGACATATAATTCGTTTTATCCCTCAGAGTAAAAACTGAACAACAAAAAACAAAACAAAACAACAAAAAACAAGAAGCAGGGATATTGTCTCTGAGACAGAATCACCCAAACTTTCTCACCCCAGGGATGCCTGACATCTCTCATCTACCTTCTCTGCCATAGCTGCATTTGAAGTCTCTCTGGACGAATACACCAAACCTCACAGTCTTTGTAAGAGGGTGAAGGGCGTGTTTCACTCTTGGCTCTTGCTTACACTCCTGTTTGACGGAAGCTGCTACTTGGGACATCTAGAAATATCTGTGGTGGCAGCATGTTGTGCTTTGGTTGGTGATGCCAGTGAGTTTCCGAAAACTTTCTGTGATGAGTACAAAACCATAAACCTTCATCACTTTTTTGATAGGTCCTGGGGAGCAGTATGCACTTTTTTCCACCGATGATTTTATGTCTATAGAGAATTTCTGGATTAAGCGTGAAGAATGGAAACTCTCTCTTCCATCCAGAGAAATAAAAATATCTTTTTGATATAAAGTGGCTACATTTTTAAGGATTAGGGAGTAGAAATAATTAGAGAATATAAGTATTTTAAAGTCTAAATATGACTCTGACTCTTACCAGAGGTCAAAGTGCTTTGATAGCCCACAGGCTTTGCACCTGCTCCCAATCCATCATGATGTAGAGCTAAAGCTTCTCAGAGTTGTCATTGCACTTGGTTCATCAGCAGTGAAAGCTTGTTCTGTTCTGACTGCTAAGATCTAAGTTGTAAGAGCTGTGGGATGGGAATTTTCCTGTTACTCTCCCAGGAAGTAAAATTTACCTCATTTATTCTCTAATTGTGCCTCCATCAAGATCACTTTGATAAAGAAAAGGAGAAGGTCTTTTCTTTTTCATGAATTCTTGTTTTTTAAGGGCGCATGGAATCTATAATCCCAGCTGATCTAAAATTCACAGATATTTTCTTGTGAATCTCTCTTTTATTATTCCCCTTCTACATTTATTTAGTATAATATAAATTCATCTGTAAGATTCTTCTCTGGTTCCATAGACCGCTCCCCTCTTCTTTTTTGGATTTATTTATTGGTCTCTAATACAAATTTGCTAAATTTATGCTATTTGTTGTGACAAAACATTTTCTTCCTAAGAAGTTTGAACCTGTTTGTGTGCATAAATTAGTGTTCTTTTCTTGCTCTCCCACTTTTCTCCCCATTCTTTATAACTCTAGAACCAAACTGTTACTGATTATTCTTTCAGAAATTACCTTGATTTTCTAAAGCACCTATTTCTTTTAACTAATCTGTACTTTACCAGCATTCTAATAGTTCCCACATTTTAGTACTAGTTAAATCACATTGTAATCCACTAACTTCTTCATTGTTTGAGTAAATAAATACAATATTTTTCAAAGTAAAGACAGTTCTTGCTTTGATAAATCTAATTTAAATTATTTAGACAATATCTACATTTTAGAGAATTATAAAATTTTCCATTAAATTAAATATCTCTTCTAGGATTACGGGCGTGAGCCACCTCACCCAGCTTTTGGATATTGTTGTTGTTGTTTTAATGTTACTCTATTTTTTTAGATTCAGGTGCTACACACGCAGGTTCCTTACATGGATGCATTGTGTTCTGGTGAAGTTTAGGTGTCTAGGGCACGCATTACCCATATAGCTCACCAGATATTATGGAGGAGGCAAAGCGGACACCTCCCCATCCCCAAGAGCCTAAATAACATTTCCACATGGGGCCCAGGTGAAGGTCTCTGCAGGATCCCCCAGCTTGGGTGGGCTCAGCTGTCACCCAGGGGTCCAGTGCCGGGACTGGTAACTCATGGGCCTGCCGGTTGGAGCGGGGGTCTCACCTGCTTGCCCGTCGCTGAGCTCCACCACCAGCCAGGGAAAGATGGAAGGCGCCAAGAGCAAAGCCTCTGGTTCGTATGACAGCTCTGCAGTATTAGCAGCTGTTTATCATTACGGCCTCAGTGTGACCGCTCTTGGAGCCCTGATCACAGACTGCCCTGTCCTCGCTGTCTCTCCACCTGTCTCAGCAACCTCTCGCTGTCTTGCCCAGTGCCACCTCTCCGTGTCTCTCACCCACTGCCACCCCTCCGCGGATCGCTGACTGTCACCATCTCTGCTGTCCAGCCATCTGGCCTCTCTGCTAATTGTCCCTGCCTCGGCTGAAAGTCTCTGCCTCTCACTCGCTGTCCTCATCATCCTTTCCTGGTCACTCGACGATGCGGGGAAGGTGAGCTCCCAGATTGGGGCATAGCCCAGGAGAGTTCTTGGCTTTGCCTAAGCAAGAATTTAGGCGCGGTGGCTCACACCTGTCATCCCAGCACTGTGGGAGGCTGAGGTGGGTGGATCACTTGAGGTCAGGAGTCCGAGACCAGCCTGACCAACACGGTAAAACCCCCTCTCTACTAAAAACTACAAAAATTAGAAGGGCGTGGTGGCGGGCGCCTGTAATCCCAGCCACCTAGGAGCTGAGGCAGAAGAATAGCTTGAACCCTTGAGGCGGAGGTTGCAGTGAGCCGAGATGGCGCCATGGCACTTCAGCCTGGGCAACAGAGCGAAACTCCGTCTCCAAAAAAATAAATAAGTAATAAATAAATAAAATAAAATAAAATTTAAGGGTGAGCTAGTGTTACCTAACCCCTTAAGGGTTACGCCAACCTCTCGTCAAGCGGCCATGCACAGCAGCAGCAGAGGTACTCCGCCTCAGGTAGCAGGGCTGCCCCGCAGGCAGTGTGCCCAGAACAGCAGCTCAGAAACACAGCTGCAGTCACTCTTGTACCTGCTTTTAATTATAGGCAAATTAAAGGGTACGTACGCAGAAATTCCTAGAAAAGGGTGGTAACTTCCGGTCAGTGGGTCTTCGCCTTGGAAAAGGGCGGTGACTTCCGGGCGTTGCCATGGCAATGGTAAACTGAGATGCCACGCTGGTGGGCGTGTCTTAAGTACAGCGGCTTCTACCCCCCCCACCCCACCCTGTATTAGCTAGTTCTCAGTCTGCGGTGGTGTCTGAGTCCCCGCCTCCAAAGTCCCACATCCTACCTCAGAACTTCTGAGAAAGCCTTTTCCCTTCCCACCCTGGGTTTTCCCGTCCGAATAAGAAGGAGCTGCCTGGAAGTGGCCCCCAAAGCCCTTTCATTTCTGACCTCCTGGGGCATCTGGGTTGTGGCTCATCCTAGACCTGCCCCAGTCTCCAACCCTCCCTGGGCCTGGTCGGCTCCTACCAATAACTACTATGTGTTGCAAGGGTTAGAAAGCCAGGAGACGCAGCTGCAGGTACGTGTAATTGTATCCATCAGTGCTGGGGTCTGAGATTGGTGAGATGAAGCCACAATATTAGGAGAAAGCAAAGATTTGTAAAAACCCCACTGGTTTAGAATCTCCCCTCTCTCATGTCTCACACAAAGTGGTTCAGATTTTCTACTAAAAGCAACACCCAGCACAGCTATGCATGAATCCCAGGCCCCGACCCTGTCCTGCAGGATGTGTGATGAGTAGAGGAAGGAGCACAGGCTGGGTCAGGAGGAGCTGGGGTCCAGCCTGACTTGGACACGGTAAAGATGCTGGGGCTGATGGAGGAGGAAGAGAGGCAGGCAAGTTGGAGAGAGGAAAGAAGGCCGCTCCCTTGGCAGCTCTTATTTCTCATTTCCAAGAGCTCCTGAGGATGAACCCCTCACCCACACCTGCAGGGTCCCTGAGGACAGGAAAGGAGGCTGCTCAGGCCTCGGTGGGATCTGACTCTGATGAGGCTGGAGTCCACCAAAGACCTGCTCCTTTAGAGAGAAGCACCCCAGCTGTGGGTGCCGCTCATACGGTCCCTACTGTGCTCACCTGGAGGCCTCTGTGCTCAGGGAACTCCTGAGAGTAAGGAGGAGCCGTGCACCTGCTCCCTGGATGAGTTAGGGAATTAGTCACAGCACGGCTTGCGTGTCATTCATTTCTACCCTGCCTTTTCCGTGCACACTTGTCTATTGTTCCTCTCTGTTCTTCTGAAACATTTAAAGCAATACATGAATATATAAACTTATCATTTTAATTTGGAACTTGATTTCATTTATATATTTGCTTTAGAAAATAGTTTCTTATTTACATTGTTTTCCTATCCTAAACTTTTAAAGTTGAGGTTTATTGATGAACTTAAGAAGTGTCTTGAAATTTTATTTATAAGAATTTTATATATTTATTTCAATGTAAACAATTATTCAATCACTTTAATAATCTGTAAATGAGGCCTTTGATTCCTTATAAATAAAAGCTAGGTACACATGATACAGTACATGGTTTGAGTACATTTATTTTATTTTATACCAACTTACTACAGAATTTCTTAATTCCAATTATTTTCAATTGATCCCCTCTAATTTACCAATAAAATATACATAACTCACAAGAAAATTGAAATTTCACTTTATTTCTAAATTGCATGTCAATTTTTCTCATGTCAAATATTAATATATAACTACATATTAAATATTTAAAGCATTACATAGATGTATCTATAAACGATTATGTAAGTTGCATCTGAATGTATTTGTGTTTATATCTACATATGTATACTTGTCCATGTGCTTAATATGTTTGACGCAGTGGGTCTTTACCTGCTTGTTATTCATCTTCCCACCTACATTCACACTTCCTACAAGCAGAAATAGGCCGGGTGCGTGGCTCACGCCTGTAATCCCAGCACTTTGGGAGGCGGAGGCGGGTGGATCACGCAGTCAGGAGATCGAGACCATCCTGGCTAACACGGTGAAACCTCGTCTCTGCTAAAAATACAACAACAACAAAAATTAGCCGGGTGTGGTGGCAGGCGCCTGTAGTCCCAGCTACTCGGGAGGCTGAGGCAGGAGAATGGCATGAACCTGGGAGGTGGAGGTTGCAGTGAGCCGAGATCGCGCCACTGTACTCCAGCCTGGGTGACAGAGTGAGATTTCGTCTCAAAAAAAAAAAAAAAAGCAAAAAAAAGAACTCCAGGTATTATCTCAGACAATGAGAGACTGTTCCATCTTGGTGCATTGGTGAGAGCACACCACCACCATTTAGAATATATACATTTGTACATGTGCATGTGTGTACGTCACATGTTAGGTGTCCTTGCCTATATGAAGAATTAGTTAATGGAAGAAGAAACCCCAGGTGAACTGGCTGAGCTGGAGTGAAGGAGAGGCAGCCCCAGGCCTTCACTTTTTGGATTCCTGATATTCAGGAGCCCCTGAGCTTCCTCATCCGTGGAGCTTGGGTCTTCAGCTGGTGAATAAGCAGAAAGACACATCTATGGAGGAATTAGGTCATGTGGTCCATGTTGTACACTGAACAGAGAGTATTTGAAGGATCAGTTATTTCTGTTGCTGAAGATGATTTTTCTTGCAGATCCTGAACTCTGAGGTACAGCAAAACTCTTGTCAAAAAATGACTCCGGAGCAAAATTTAAATTCAAAGAACACAAGAAGGCTGAAATAACTTAGTGAGGACGCAGCTGAGGGAGGGCTGATTGAGGAACTCCATAAAAGTCATGTTGAGAGACATAGGGAACTATAAGAATGCAGAGCCCAGGGGGAGAGGCTGGGTTGAGATCTCTTCAAGAACCTCTCCTCTCCTTCCCCTTGGATTCTCAGAAGTAGCTGATACCCTCCGTCTGCCACAAAACATTTCTGATTTCTCCAAACCTCTCACATAAGTTTCCCCCTGATTATTTCTCCCCCAACTCTGTATTTGCTTCTCTCTGTCTCTATATCTATGTGTTCCCTCCTCCTGTCTGTTTCATTATTTCTTTCTCTGTTCTGTATCGATGTCTCTTTCTATCTCTGTCTTTCTCTCTTGTTCTCTTCTCAGTTGATCCAAACTTAGAGCTAATATTAGCGCTCAGTGAGTTGAACGTCTCACAGGTATTTTTCTGAGATCATCTCAAATCCCCATGCACACATTGTCACTGCACTTGTAGGTAATACGATAATTACCTGTCAGCAAGAAGATGACCTCATGGTGTCCCAAACTTTATCTCAGAGATAAGATGTCCCCTTCTGCCCACATGCTCAGACTGAATCCCTGGCAGTTACTTTCCCAGTGAGAAATGGCATTTGGTAAGCGGATTTTCTTTGTACGTAGAGAGCCATATTCTTAGAGACATAGAATGCCGGTCATAAAATAATAATATGGAATGGGCATACAATTCTCTTTTTCCCTCGAGGGTCAAAAATAGAACAAAAAAAAAAAAATGAAGTACAAGTATTTTCTGAGAGTTCCTTAAATGTAGAATCATCCTCAACTTCTGCTTCCAGGGCTATCTGGCATCTCGTTTACCTTCTCTGTTGTAGCCCCGTCTGAAACATTATCTGAACACGCCAAACTTCCCAACCTTCACTCTCCTGCTTGTACAAGGAGTATGAGTGTATTTAGCCCTTGGCCCCTGTTTACACACCTGTTTTCTGATGGCAACAGCTACCTAGGACATTCAAAAGGATCTGTGATAGCATGTTGTGCTTTGGTTGGAGACGGATGTACGTCTGTGGAAACCTGGTAAGTGCAAAATCCTATACTTTGATCTCCTTTCTGGGAGCAGGGTGCACTTTAGTTCACGGATAATCTTACGTTCACAGAACATTGCTGGGATTAGTGTGAAGAAGGTAAACTCTATATCCTATTTGAAGAATTAGAAATCTTTTTACAAAAAGAGAGACTGAGTGTTCAAGGCTTAGGGAGCAAGAATAACCAGGGACTATCAATGTGCTGGGGTCCAAATGCAATGCTGACAGTTATCAGATTTTTAAATGTTTTGATATTCCACAGACTTTTGCACGTATTTCAGATCCATTGGGACCTAAAGTTAAAGCTTCCAAAAGTCATTGCTCCAGTCAGTCCTGAAGCAGTAAGAATTTGGTCTGTTCTGACTGCTAAGATCCCAGCCACAAATGCTATGGGATGGGGATTTTCCTGTCACTAGCTCAGAATGTAAGATATATCTCATTTAATCCCTAATTGTGCCTTCATAAAAATCACTTTGGGCCAAGCGCAGTGGCTCACGCCTGTAATCTCAGCACTTTGGGAGGCTGAGGTGGATGAATCATGAGGTCAGAAGTTCAAGACCAGCTTGACCAACATGGTGAAACCCCGTCTCTGCTAAAAATACAAAAAGAGCCGGGCGTGGTGATGGGTGCCTGTAATCCCAGCTACTCAGGAGGCTGAGGCAGGAGAATTGCTTGAACCCAGACGTCAGAGGTTGCAGTGAGCTGAGATCGCACCACTGCACTCCAGCCTGGGTAACAGAGTGAGACTCCAACTCAAAAAAAAAAGACATATAAACCAATGAAACAGAATAAAGGACCCAAAAATGAAGGCACATATCTACAGCCAGCTGATCTTTGACAAAACTGACAAAAACATACACTGGGGATAAGTTTTATTTCTTTGTCTTGCCTGATTGCTCCGGCGAGGACCTCCAGCACTATGTTGAATCAGAGTGGTGAGAGCGGACATCTTTGTCTTACTCCAGTTCTTAGGGGGAATGCTTTCTGCTTTTCCCTGTTTGCTATATTGGCTGTGATTTCGTCGCCTATGGTCTTTAGTATTTTGAGGTATGTCCTTCTATGCCTTGTTTGTTGAGAATTTTTATCCTGAAGAGATGCAGGATTTTACCAAATGCTTTTTTGCATCTCTATGACATAATCATAGAGACTGAAACCAGAGTCCTCTCATGTCCCCACCCCTCATGTCTTAATCTAGTCTAGAAATTAACTGTGATTGAGTCTCTGCCATGAGCCAAGCGCCGCTGGCTCTCACATCTGCTGTGATGAGTGAGGTTCATGACAACAGGCTCCACACAGGGAAACTGAGGCTCAGAGACGAGGTAGTACTGCCCAAGATCACGCAGGCCATAGATAATAATCAGGAATTACATAGAAATCAATTCCCCACTGGCTGGGTGCAGTGGCTCATGCCTGTAATCCTAGCACTTTGGGAGGCTGAGGAGGGCGGATCACAAGGTCAGGAGATCAAGACCATCCTGGCTAACACGGTGAAACCCGTCTCTAATAAAAATACAAAAAAATTAGCCAGGCGTGGTGGTGGTGCCTGTAGTCCCAGCTGCTCGGGAAGCTGAGGCAGGAGAATGGCGTGAACCCGGGAGGTGGAGCTTGCAGTGTGCCAAGATTGCGCCACTGCACTCCAGCCTGGGTGATAGGTCAAGATTCCATCTCAGAAAAAAAAAAAAAAAAAGAAAGAAAGAAATTGTTGAGAGAGGTGTCACCTCTCCGCAAACCAGAGCCCAAACCTAAGTAATGTACCCACAAAAATTAAAAAATAAATAGATACATAAGAATAAAAATTTCAAAACAAAGCCTAAGTAATTACTCTGAAAATGTTGAACTTGGATTGAGGTGTAGAGGGAAACCCAAAGAAACAAAAGGCACAGTGGAGGCAGAAATGATTCAGAGGTTTGTTCCTGGAGGTGGGGTGGAAGTAGACTCTGTTGCAAGAAAACAAAAAAAAAATTAAGAGAAGTAAAAGAAAAAGAGTACTATTGGTTAGAAAAGAAACACTCCAGGGCCACTAAAGGGTCATGATTTCTTCCCCTATTTCCCTGCCATTTCTCTTCTGTGCTCATTGCCACTCACAGCTCAGCCTGGGCTGCACAGCCCGGTGTCAGGTGCGTTTCTGCTGACCTGGGTCTGCCTGCAGCATGGACCTGCATCTTCCCTGACCATCTCAGAAAAAAAAAAAAAAAAAAGAAAGAAAGAAATTGTTGAGAGGTCGACCTCTCCGCAAACCAGAGCTCCAAAACCTAAGTAATGTACCCACAAAAATTAAAAATAAATAGATACATAAGAATAAAAAAATTTAAACAAAGCCTAAGTAATTACCTGAAAATGTGAACTTGGATTGGAGGTGGAGGAAACCCAAAGAAACAAAAGGCACAGTGGAGGCAGAAATGATTCAGAGGTTTGTTCCTGGAGGTGGGGTGGAAGTAGACTCTGCTGCAAGAAACAAAAAAAAATTAAGAGAAGTAAAAGAAAAGAGTGGCTCATTGGTTAGAAAAGAAACACTCCAGGGCCACTAAAGGGTCATGATTTCTTCCCCTATTTCCCTGCCATTTCTCTTCTGTGCTCATTGCCACTCACAGCTCAGCCTGGGCTGTACAGCCCGGTGTCAGGTGCGTTTCTGCTGACCTGTCTGCTCTGCAGCATGGACCTGCATCTTCCTGAAGCATTCCAGGGCTGGAGAGACGACTGCCATGGTAAGGACCTCGCGACGCTGAGCCGATGGACGGGCTGAAAGAGGAGGAGACCCCATGGGGAGGCTCTGAGAGGGAAGAGGAGCCCATGGTCGTCCTCGCCTGAAAGGGGCTGACTGAGGAAGTCACCGGGTCTATTTGCTGTGTCCTGCCCTCAGTGAGATAAAGATAACCAGTGGTGACAGTGGCTCAGGGACGGGGAGACCCCATTTCTCTCTGAAATGTCTGCAGAGAGCCTGGTGCCCGGCCCCTCACCTCAGCCTTGGGGAAATGAGAGCCAGGCTCCGGGAGGGCAGTTCCCCTTCCTGTGGGGCTGAGGATGAGACAATCCTGATGACAAGAAGGACTCAGCTTCCGAGCAGCCACACCCTGTGTGTGTGTCTGTCCTGCCAGCACCGAGGGTTCATCCATCTGCACAGCTGCAGCCAGTGGGAGGAGACGCTGTGACCCCTGCCCTCGTGGCTCTGCTCTGCCTCGGTGAGATTGGAAGCAGGGAAGGGGCACCCTAGTCTGGGAGGGACCCCACTCCATAACCAGGCCTGTCTATCAGGAAGCTCCAGGGTGTTAGCATGTTCCCAGGGCGGGGAGGGTCTGCTCAGGTTTAGGGGCAAATCCCTCATAGGGAACTCTCTTCCAGGTCTGAGTCTGGGCCCCAGGACCCACGTGCAGGCAGGCAGGTGAGTCTGTCCCTGGCCGCCCCAGGGTCCCTCCTCTCACTGGGGACAAAGGGCCACCCATGGCAGCTGGGAGAGTGAGACAGCAGCTCCTGGTGACTGATGGTGACATCTGAAGGGTCCTGGGGCTGGGAGCTGGGATCTGAGTGTGGGACGTCTTGGGATCCAGCTCTCTGATTTCCTTCCAGGGCCCTCCACAAACCCTTCGCCCTCTGGGCTGAGCCAGGCTCTGTGATCATCCGGGAGCCCCGTGACCATCTGGTGTCGGGGACTCCTGGAGGCCCAGGAGTACCGTCTGGATAAAGAGGGAATCCCAGAGCCCTGGAACACACAGAACCCACTGGAGCCCAGGAACAAGGCCAGATTCTCCATCCCATTCATGACAGAGCACCATGCAGGGAGATTTCGCTGTTACTATCTCAGCCCTGCAGGCTGGTCAGAGCACAGTGACCCCCTGAGCTGTGGTGACAGGTGAGAGGGACACTCAGGGGTCCCAGCCCCAGGCTCTGCCTCAGGAAGGGGGTCGGTTTTCAGGTGCCCCCCTCTCACAGCCCAGCCCTGGGGATGCCATGGGAGGTGGGAGCCCATTAAACACGGTGCCTCCTTCTCCTAGGATTCTACAGCAACCTACCCTCTCAGCCCTGCCCAGCCCTCCTGTGGTGGCCTCAGAGGAACGTGTGACTCTCCTGTGTGGCTCACGGCTGAGATTCACAGGTTCATTCTGGACTATGGGAAGGAGATCGCCAATCTCTCCTGGACCTCGAACTCACAGCTGTCTCCTAGTGGGCAGTTCCAGGCCCTGTTCCCTGTGGGCCCCCGTGACCCCCAGCCACACAGGTGGATGCCTGTGATACTATGGCTCTCACAGGTCCTGCAGGTGTGGTCACTAGAACTCCAGTGACCTCCTGCAGATTCTCCGGTTCAGGTGAGGAAGCCACAGCCTTCTCTAGTACAATTTAGGGGAGCCAGACAGGTTGTAGAGAGTCTTACCTGCAGGGCAGCCCCTGCTAAGAAAGAAAAAAGGAAGGAGAACGTCAGAAATCCTAGGGATACAAATTCAGAGTGAGAAAACAGAAGCAAAGGTTGGGCGCGTGGCTCAGGCCTGTAATCCCAGCACTTTGGGAGGCTGAGGCGGCGAGATCACCTGATGTCAGGAGTTCAAGAACTGCCTGGCCAACACGGCGAAACCCTATCTCTACTAAAAATATAAAAATAGCTGGGTGTGGTGGTACACACCTGTAATCCCAGCTATTTGGGAGGCTGAGGCAGGAGAATTGCTTGAACTGGGAGGCAGAGGTTGCAGTCAGTCAAGATTGTCCATTGCACTCCAACCCGGTAACAGAGTGAGATTCCATCTCAAAAAAAGGCTGGCACGGTGGCTCACGCCTGTAATCCCAGCACTTTCGGAGGCTGAGGCGGGTGACCACGAGGTCAGGAGATCGAGACCATCCTGGCTAACACGGTGAAACCCCCGTCTCTACTAAAAACACAAAGAATTAGCCGGGCGTGGTGGCGGGCGCCTGTAGTCCCAGCCACTCGGGAGGCTGAGGCAGGAGAACGGCATGAACCCGGGAGGCGGAGGTTGCAGTGAGCCGAGATCGTGCCACTGCACTCCAGTCTGACTCCATCTCAAAAAAAAAAAAAAAAAAAAAAAGGAAAAGAAAGAAAAACAGAGCAAGAAGAGCTCTAGACGGAGGGCTTACAGAAGGAACTAGCTCCTGCACTCCTGCCTCTTCTTCCCTGCAGGTGTGTCTAGAAACCCTCCTCCGACCCCAGTTAGGGCCCTGTTGTGGTCCCTGGAGAGAACCTGACCCTCCAGTGTCACTCTGATGTTGGCTATGACAGGTTCACTATACACGGAGGACAGACATGACCTCCTCCAGCACCCTGACCAGCAGCCCCGGGCTGGGCTCTCCCAGGATGACTTCCCCCTGGGCTTGGAAGTGACCCCCAAAACCCCCTCATTTCTGACCTTCTGGGGCATCTGAGATGTGGCTCATCCCAGACCTAGAAAAGCAGCTCCTATCAGTAACTCTAAGACCTGGTCTGCTCTTGCCAATAGCGACACCTCGCAAGGGTTAGAAAGCCAAGAGGGGCAGCTGCAGGTACGTGTAATCGTATCCATCCGTCCTGGGGTCTGAGATTCGTGAGATGAAGCCACAAAATTATGAGAAAGAAAGATTTACAAAAAACCCCACTGTTTAGAATCTCCCCTCTCTCACACATCACACAAAGTGTTTCAGATTTTCTACTAAAAACCGTGCAGCTCTACAAGACTCCCAGGCCCCCACGCTATCCTGCAGGATGAGTGATGAGTAGAGGAAGGAGAACAGACCTGGTGAGCAGGATTTGGGGTCCAGGCCTGACTTGGAATATGGGGAAGATGCTGGGGCTGGTGGAGGAGGAAGAGAGGCAGGCAAGTTGGAGAGAGGACAGATGGACGCTCCCTTGGCAGCTCTCACTTGTCGTTTCCATGAGATCCTGAGGATGGAGCCCCTCACCCACACCTGCGGGGTCCCTGGGCCCACTCAGGAAAGGGGAAGGACGCTGCTCCGGCCTCAGTGGGGTCTGACTGTGATGAGTGGAACCCACCCCAGGCCTGCTCCTTTAGAGAGAAGCACCCCAGCTGTGGGTGCCGCTCTCATGGCCCCTCCTGTCTTCAACCGGAGGCCTCTTTGCTCAGGGCACCCCTGAGACGAAGGAGGGGCCGTGCACCTGCTCCCAGCAGTAAGTTAGGAGCTTATTCACGGCACATCTTGTCTGCGGTTCACTGCTACTCTGCATTTGCTGGGCATGCTTGTCTATTTTCTCTCTCTTCTTCTGAATCTTTTAAAGCAATATTTGAATATTTAAATTTGTCTCTTTAAGATATGTGGATTTATGATTTAAAAACCAGTAATTCCACTCCCATTGTCGTGGGGTGTCATTCAATATTTACATTTGCTTTATAAAATTAGTTGTTAACGGCAAGTATTTCTATTATTAATATATAAAATTGAAGTTTATGAATGAAGTTAATAAGTGTTTTGAAGTTCTGTTCATAAGAATGTGTACATTTAGTCTAAAGAATTCTTCAACTACTTTAATTATTTTTAAGTGAAATATTTGATTCATTTATATTTCTTTTTCTTTTTTTTTTTTTGAGATGGAGTCTTGCTCTGTCACCCAGGCTGGAGTGCCGTGGTGCAATCTCAGCTCATTGCAAGTTCTGCCTCCTGGGTTCACCCCATTCTCCTACCTCAGCCTCCCAAGTAGCTGGGACTACAGGCGCCCGCCACCATGCCTGGCTAGTTTTTGTATTTTCAGTAGAGACAGGGTTTCACCGTGTTAGCCAGGATGGTCTCGATCTCCTGACCATGTGATCCACCCGCCTTGGCCTCCCAAAGTGCTGGGATTACAGGTGTGAGCCACCATGCCACCCAGCTCCCAAGTCTTGAATTCTACAGGTGAAGCCTGTGCCAACCTAGTTCATTTCTCATTCTTTTTTTTTTTTGGGGCAAGTCTTGCTCTGCCCGGGCTGGTGGCTCAGCGGATCTCGCTCACCTGGCTCCGCCTCCCGGGTTACGCCATTCTCCTCCGCCTCCCAATCATGGGAACTACAGCCTTGCTCCGCCATGACCTAATTTGTGTTTTTAGTAGATAGTTTCACAGTGCTGTGTGGATAAGGTCTCGATCTCCTGACCTCGTGATCCGCCCATCTTCGGCCTCCCAATGTGCTGGGATTACAGGTGTGAGCCACCATGCCCAGCCTGATTCATTTATATTTTAGTGAGATGCCCCCATGAAAGCTTTTGGTTTAGTATATTCATTCATTTCATAAATAACATATATGCCACCTGTTATCCTCAACTGATCTCCCCAAATTTACTGAGATTCATTTATATTTCTAAGTGAGATATACACATGAGAAAGCTTTTAGTTTGAGTATATTCATTTAATTTCATATTAGCTTGCTATATTTTCCCTTTCCATTATCTTTCAACTGATCTCCCCAAATTTACTGATAAAATTTATATTAACTATAAGAAAATTGAAAATTTATTTTTTATTTCTAAACTGCATATCAATTTTTGTCCCTTCAAGTATTAATATGCATGTAATTGCATCTTAAATAAATATCTAAAGTTTAACATATATACATATTTATGTATGGTTATATAAGTTACATCTGAATATAAGTGTAGGTATATCTGCATATATTTTTTATATGTATATCTACATGCTTAATGTATTTCACATCACGGGCTTTTACATGTTTGTTATTGGTCTTCTCACCTAGATTTGCACTTTATAAAAGCAGAAATTGTTTTTTGTTTGTTTGTTTGAGACGGAATCTTGCCCTGTCGCCCAAGCTGGAGTGCAGTGGCACGACCTGGGCTCACTGCAACCTCCGCCTCCCAGTTTCAAGCGATTCTCCTGTTTCAGACGCCCGAGTAGCTGGGATTATAAGCATGTACCACCACGCCCAACTAATTTTTTGTATCTTTAGTAGAGACAGGGTTTCACCACGTTGGCCAGGCTGGTCTCGAACTCCTGACCTCGTGATCTGCCCTCCTCCCAAAGTGCTGGAATTACAGGCATGAGCCACCATGCCTAGCCCTAAAAGCAGAAATTGTTTTATGGCCTCTGATAACATCATATATACACACACACACACACATACACCCACACACATTTATATACATACATATATATATGACTGACTACATGAATAATCAGCTAACTAGAGACTTATTGTACGATGAAACACCAGGTGAGGTGGTTGAGGTGGCGTGAAGGGGAGGCAGCTGTTTGTGTTTCTGACATTCAGAAGCCCCTGAGGACCCACCCCTCATGCACGGAGCCTGAGTCCTCAGCTGGTGGATCCGTGAAACTCTCATCTCCGGGGGAATTGGCTCATGTGCTCCCGTGTCCCAGGCTGCACCGACAGCACCCAGGGCTCAGTGACCTCTGTACCGGGGACCACTTTCCTTGCAGATCCTGATCTTTCACGGTGCCGGAAAACTCTTTCCCAAATGACTCAGGAGCAAAAACAAAGGAAAGGTGAAATAATTCAGTGAGGAGACTGGAGGGAACCCTGTTGCAGCAGAGGGAGGGCTTATCGAGGAACTCCATAAAAGTCATATTGAGAGGCATAGGGAACTAGGAGAATGCAGAGCCCAGGGGAGAGGCTGGGCTCAGGTCTCTTCAAGAACTTCTCCTTCCCCTTCCCCTGTTTTGATTTTCAGGAGCAGCTGATAACCTCAGTCCATCACAAAACAAGTCTGACTCTGGGACTGGTGAGTGAGGAGATGCTCTCAGTTATGGAACTGGCACAGAGGGTCAGGTCCTGTTAAGATGATGTGGGTGCCCTGGGGGTCATCTAGGGGTCCTGGGTGATACTGATCTGCCCTGACCTCTGTGACCTCTTTGTCCACCATCTCCAGCCTCACACCCCCAGGATTACACAGTGGAGAATCTCATCCGCATGGGCGTGGCCGGCTTGATCCTGGTGGTCCTCGGGATTCTGATATTTCAGGATTGGCACAGCCAGAGAAGCCCCCAGGATGCAGCTGGGAGGTGAACAGAAGACAGGACAATGCACCATTGGGTGCTGGAGCCTTGGAAGAGAATCTGAAAGTCCCAGGAGATTCTGGAAGACAATCTGAGGCCTATGCTATCTGGACTGTCTGCTGGCAATTTCTCTTTTGTTTGTTTGTTTTTCTTTTTTTCTTTTTGAGACGGAGTCTCGCTCTGTCGCCAGGCTGGAGCACAGTGGTGCAATCTGGGCTCACTGCAACCTCCGCCTCTCGGGTTCAAGTGATTCTCCTGCCTCAGCCTCTGGCAATTTCTAGAGGGAGGAATGGATGTTTGAGTGCAGGGACACTGGTCTGGGGTGATCTGTAGAGGACCATAAAAGTATGATACCTTTCCTTTCTATTAATGTTGACTTCCCTTGGTTGGATTCCCCTCTCTTCCCAGCCCGAGACATGAGGCTACATCCCACATGGCAGCGTTGGGTCCACATCTCCGCACACCTGTGTACTGTGGTCCACGGCATGTCAGCCAGTCCTCTTCATTTCTCATTACCACACTCCCTGTGTGCTTTACTGAGCCTCCATCTCTTCAGTTCAGAGTTCCACACCTGACCCAGTAACTAAATCCATGGGAGAAGGTCAGATCCCCACCAGGGAAAGATAAATCCAGAAGGGCATCCTAACCTCCTGTCTGTAGCCTTCAAGCCTCTTCACTCTTTTTTTTTTTTTTTTTTTGAGATGGAGCCTTGCTCTGTCGCCCAGGCTGGAGTGAGGTGGTACCAATTTGGCTCACTGCAAGCTCTGCCTTCCGGATTCACGCCATTCTCCTGGCTTAGCCTTCCGGGTAGCTGGAGCTACAGGCGCCTGCCACCATGCCCGGCTAATTTTTGTATTTTTAGTAGTGACAGGGTTTCACCATGTTGGCCAGGATGGTCTCGATCTCCTGACCTCGTGATCCGCCCCTCTCGGCCTCCCAAAGTGCTGGGATTACAGGCATGAGCCACAGTGCCCAGCCCGACAAACTTCTTTACTCAGCCCACTGATTCGATTCTTACCCAGAAATGCCCTCAAAGACACACCCAGAATAGTGTTTCACCAAATACCTGGGCACCCTGTGAATCAATCAAGTTGACATAAAAGTATCCATCACACCAACAGATCTTCACATCCTAGTACCTTCCTGACACACGGTCATTGCTCAATACATTGCACCGTCAGGCAGACGGCAGGAAGGAAGATATTTTTCATTCGTGGAAACTCAGGAAAAGGAAGTTACTTGGCCCATGTTACACAGCCTGGATGAAATGCAGAGTTAACCCTGCAGTTGCAGTTGAGCTGGTTTCTCTCCTGCCTTCTCCAGCTGCATGTTCTGGGACAAGGTCACTCCTTGGGTGTGGGTTTGGCATGAGGTGGAGGCAGGCTGGTCAGGCAGAATGTGGGGAGTCAGGTGAGACTCAGATCTTGTCTGAAAGATCCCTGGAGCCTGCTGTCTCCTCTGCCTCTTCCTTCAGGGGAGGCTGTTCCCCTTCCTAAGAAGCCCTTTATGAGGAACCCATGCCCTGTGACACAGCGCTTAGGGCTTGTGACACCTGTGTGTCCCTCTGCCCTGCTGGGCTTTGTGGTCTTTATAATTTGTACCTTTGAGGGCCAATGGAAGGTAGTACCAGATCTTGATCCTCATTGCCCTTCTCTGTCTCTGGGAGCTTTGGGGAGAGAGGAGGAATGGAGTTGAGGTAGAAAGACCAGCAAGTACTTGTTTTCTGGTCACCCTGCCAACCAAAACAGGATCTGATCCAGACATGATGAAATGAAGAAACCATCAGGAACCAGCAAAAGGTGACAAAAGAGATCCCTAGCTGTCCTCATGGCTCACTGGCATAAGACATTCCCACCAGTACCATGACAGTTTACAAATGCCATGGCAAAGACCCAAAAGTTACCACCTCTTTTCATTGCAATGACTCAGAAGCTACTGCCCATTTCCTAGAAAGTTCTAAATAACTCTCCCCTCAATCTGCATTGACTTGCTCCTTAATTTGCATATAATATAAGGTAGGTTTACGTGAGTATAAATACAGTTGCCAAGAGCTCAAATGTTGTAGAATTTGGGCACACTGACTGTGAGTTAGCCCTTCTCTGCAAGGATCAGCATTATTCAAAAAAAGATTCCTGTTTCACACTATTGGTTTACCTGTGAATCCTAGGTGAAGCCAAGAACCCTCCCAGGTTAAGCCCCGATTTGGGAACTCACCTTTCCTGCAACAGAGTTCCCTTCCCACTTCCAGCTGATGGCCCCTTGGGAGACCCCAGAGGCTCAGGGGCTTGAGTCCCTGAGGAAGGAGAGAATGTGCTCAGCTCCATCTGTGATGCCAGCTCTCAGGGGCCCAGAACGGGCCTGGAGCAGCTTCTATGTGTGGTTCAGGATGAGCTCTCATAGGGGTCCCTCCTCCAGAGCTGTGTTAAGATCCATGGGACAAGCACAAGCAGGTGCATCCTCCCCAGACTTCCTGGTTCAACCCAATGGAGCCGTGAGAGTAGTTTTGCAGGGGGCCTGGGTGCACAGAGAACCTGGTGTTATGAGGACTAGGCTGGGTAGTGACTTGGAGTGACAGCCGGGGAAATTGAGGGAGTAGAGCACCCCCTAGGAACTTCAGCTCCAATTCCTTCCCAGAAACCCTCCACAGATCCTCCACCTGGGCTGACCCAGGTTCCTTGATCATCACGGAGCTTCCTACAACCATCTGTTGTCAGAGGCCTCAGCAGGCTGGCACCTGCCATCTATATAAAGTGAAGGTCTCTCAATTCTCAGATACACAGGCCCTGCAGGACTTCAGCAACAAGGCGCCTCTCTGCATAGCTTACAAGAGCTCACACACTGCAGGGTGGTGCACCTGTGTGTATCACAGCTGGAATGTCTGGTAAAAATGAAGTAACCCCCTGCCCCTGGCAGTGACAGGTAGGAGAGAGGATCCGGGTCACTTCTCCACCGTGGCCCCTCCTGGTAAGCAGAGGGAATCACCCCAGCACCTGGACCCATTTAGATTAAGTAAATTTACTGAGGCTTCAGAGGAAGGTCTTCAGGACTCAGATCTTAGTTATAAATTAAAATAAGTTAGCCACTTATGGCTGGGCATGGTGGCTCATGCCTGTAATCCCAGCACTTTGGGAGGCTGAGGTGGGCAGATCACAAGGTCAGGAGATCGAGACCATCCTGGCTAACACGGTGAAACACCATCTCAACTAAAAATACAAAAAAATAGCAGGGTGTGGTCGCGGGCACCTGTAGTCCCAGCTACTCGGGAGGCTGAGGCAGGAGAATGGCGTGAACCCAGGAGGCGGAGCTTGCAGTGAGCCGAGATCGGGCCACTGCACTCCAGCCTGGATGACAGAGCAAGACTCCATCTCAAAAAAAAAAAAAAAGAAGTTAACCACTTATGTCTTTAGGTGAATGCACACTTAACACATAGACATATAGCTTAGAAGGTATATAAGCTCCGGAAAACTGTGATTTTGTGTTGGTCTGGCGATATTTTCCCAGCCTTCTCCCTGTACCTGGTTACCTGGCTGCTGATATCTATGTGCTGTCTATAGGGATCTGGGACTGCCCTTTGAAGAGGTGTGTGCTCACTGTCTGTGAAGGCTCATGTGAGCCATCTTGGGCGTATATGCAGATTCCTGGGGGACACATTAGCCACTTGTGAGGGCCACAGGTGAGGCATCTCCCATGGTTCATGCCCGGGTCTCTTGATGGGCCCCGCAAGTCAGTTATTAGGCTCCGCAGCAGTTTTTGAGATCTCTGTGTTGGTTACTGTGATGTCTTTCGTCTTTCCCTGGTGCTAGCTCCTTTGGAATGGCTAGACTATTCGGCCGTACCAATTTCCTGAGTGATCTGGGTGGGTGCAGGGTGGATTGGGCTTCTTGGGCAATTTCCCCTGAGGCTGGGAGGCTGTGTGCTCACTCTGCTTCCACTTACCCCTCTGGTAGGAAGTGCACGCCGTGGGAGCTTGCTTGGCACGGAGCGGTGCCACCTTGGAGGAGGGGCAATGCACAAACACGGTAACGTTTCTTCCTACACTCTTCAAGAATCATTTCTCCTTTTTTTTCCCCTTCCCCCCTTAATCTGGTTCTGAAGATGCTGCACTGGACTTCTGAATTCTCGCAGAAATATTTCTGTTCATGGATGGGGGTCAAAATGGATGCCCTTAGAGGGTCTGAGGACCAGGCTTGTCTATTCCACCATGTTAATAATACCACTCCTTCTACCTTGGGATTTAATTGTAGGTTTCTTGTAAAAATTAAAGATTTTGAAAACAATATGGATTTGAAAGCATAACACAGGTTTTTGACTTTGTTTGTTTGTTTGTTTTTAGACGGAGTTTCACTCTTGTTGCCCAGGCTGGAGTAGAGATGGGGTTTCTCCATGTTGGTCAGGTTGGTCTCAAACTCCCGACCTCAGGTGATCCACCCACCTCAGCCTCCCAAAGTGCTGGGATTACAGGCATGAGCTACTGCACCCTGCTGATTATTATTATTTTTTTCTTAATGTCAGAACTGAGACACAGTAACTCATTTGCTTGTGTCTTGCATTCTCCATTTTGCAAGTCTGCCCCTATGGCTGTATCTTCAGCTGGATCCACCTGTTTTTATATTTAGCGTTGACCTGCAACCTCAGGGTTGGGGTAGCCATTTGTCTTTATTGCCTATACACGCAATGCACAGATTACCCAAGTATGTCCACTCTTTGACATTATTAGGTGGAAAATTCTACAGAGAAAAAGAATGTTTCCTGTGAAGTACTTCATAGAGAAAAGAGAGCACTTGGGTCTTGCCTCCATTTGCAACTTTGCAATGTAGTGATTTGGTTCTTTACCATATCCCAAATGTGAAGTGTTGTATGTTTTATTTTGCTTATAGCGGTATTAAACACATAGAGTTTGTATCTATTCATTTTTTATCCATTACAAATATTATTTGATGCTATAAATGTCCCACACTTTGCCAATAAGAATCCTCCATTGGAACCCTTTTTCTTCTGGTCATATGAGTCTGAGGGTACTTGGTGACTCCTTTGCTCTTTTGAACAATAAGGGGTTCTGAGTTCATCTCCTATAGTTTCTGTCCTAAGGTAGCTTCAACCATTTCTTCAGGAAAAAAAATGTTAAAATCCTGACAACA